CCCCAAAACCCCAAAACCCCAAAACCCCATAAGTTAAAATATTAGTAAATGCTTAGAGAATCAACAATTTAAGAAATCAAAATCACATCAGAGGGAGATCGTCTAAAGCTGGACCCTAACCACCATACTCTTTAGGTATATACTTAATATCCATGACTTTTGATAATTCCTCAAGATAATTTTTACCCAAGAACTTAAACTTGGCCTTAGTGACCTCGTGAACAAATGGTTTAACTCCAGCATACATTGCATTGAAAATAAAGCCAGATCTTATAAAGAACATAGTATGAAGTCTTTCAGCAAAATTATTCTAAATTTTGTTATACTTTCTTAAAGCTTACTGATAGAATTGGTGCCATCTTTGAGATCTGCTTAAGATCAAAGTTGCTATAGCCCACATTATTCAAGTCAAAGATCATCACATACTAGTCCACATTCTTTTTCATCCTAGTATTAATTATTTATTAAAATTCTTACGATCAGCAAGCTTTGTCAAGTGTATAGACCATGAATTTTTGGATTCTTTTTTCATTTGACTTTGATGGGTCAAACTATCTTCCTCTTAGGAAGATTAAGGGTCTACCTACAAAATCAAAGCCATACAGATTTACGAGCCTCATCCCTAGCTCAGCTGGAATATCATTTGGATCAACCTCCATAAGTTGGTTATCTACCCTCCATTTTTCAGTCTAAACCAGCCTATCGTATGCTTCATCAACATTCCAATTGAAAGACTTAACATAGCGTACAACGTGATTCAAAGATAAATACTAAAGTCCTGCCTCATCGATTCTTTATCTTAATTAGTAGTAACATTTTTTCTATTCCTCATCGCATCTCTCCAAACACCATTTTGACCACTACCCATTAAATTTGCATTCTTCTGAGGAGCAATACTCTAGATTTTCCCTTTGGTAACCTTAGGGTGCCTTTATCTCTTCAAATATCTAATTATTGTTATCATCATTATCTTGAATTTCAAAGAGTCCTTGATTTGGATCGTTTTATATTTAGAATTAGCTTGCTCTCTATCCAGTTGGCATGGTTAGCTACTGTTGACCAAAAGTTTATTAATTTTGTATTTGAAGTAAACTTCCAAATTCACTCTATCTAGATTTTACTTATTTCTAAGCGCTATTACCTGCTGGAGACTATTAAAGTTATTATTATGAGTCATTATTTAGATTTTTGTTAGTTGACATCTATTATTACCTCCAATCTTAATATTATGTCCTTTATTTCTATTGTCCAATACTAATATTGCTCTCATTAATTTAATCAGTCTATTATTTCTACTAACTCTTTTTATACTATTCATAATCAAACGGTTAGAATTAGTACAGTTGAAATTCTATCACATATTTTTGCTTGGCATAAGTTTTAAAATTATTAAGGGCTTTGATGAACTCAAGTGATATATTATTGGCAAGTTAATTGTAAAATTTTCCTTACTTAGGAGTAACTTCCACACAAATCTTCATTGAAGTCTTATCGTAAATCTGATTGAGTCCAACAAATATCAACAAGTCCTCAAGATCTTTGCAGCCTTTTTACATTAATTTGAATACTAAAACGTAATCCTTAGATTTTTAATCTATAAACGTGGTTGTTATTAGTCTCAACTGAGTTCTTATGGGAATAATTTAATAGACATTAAGATGAGCCTCCATTGTTAAGATTTCAGAATTGGCTTCAATTTAGTTTAATATCTGCTGTTTCTTAGTAAACAAGAGCCATTGTTTATAATTATTGATATCCTTGAGCTGCTAAAGAATATAATCAGGAGTAAGTCCAACCTGATACTAGGCATAATAATTGTGTGGAGGATACTATACTCTCTTTTAATGAGAAGAGCTGTTTTGGGATTGATGCTTTTAGAAAATTCTGATACCACTTTCAACATGAGTCACTTTATAAGAAAGCAACTCAGGGGACTCTGCGGAAAGGACTTCTTAAATTTAATTGAGTCTATTTTTAATGCATTCTGGAATGAGATTCAAAAATGAATCATTAGTTTAGATGTTATTTTTAGTTATTATCATATTCATGTCATAGGATCTATCAAGTTGACTTTTATTAGCTAATTAGAATGGAGAGGAACTTTGGTTATATTTTTCGTTTGACATATGGGTGTAATGATTCTTCTAGAGTGATAAAAACTATGATTGATTTCCTATAGACATTTTGATTCGATTTAAATTATAAAATTCTTCAATATTTTAAATTTTAAATTGGTATAGTTATAATAAAAATAATTGAAATGAAAGCTAACGTGCATGTTAGAGACTAAATGTTCCCTATTTTCTGTGGATCTGGTTCCCAGAAAGTAAGATGGCTATCTGATGTAGCACTTCATAGATATGAGCACTTCTTCAATGTAGATCCTGGTCTTGCAAAAGGTATGAGATATGAAAATGGCACTTTGATTGATATGGATAGTATAATATGCGATAAACTCGAGAATGAAATTCATGTCTGGGTTATCCTTAAAGAAGATCTTGCACTCATGGAAGCAGAGCAATAAAAATAAATTGAAAACCAAAATAATTGAAAGCCTTAAAATACTCTTAAAGGAATATCAGAGCTTAATGACCTCAGAATTTATAATTAGTAAAATGTTAAATTGATACTAGATTTAGAAAAATGAATAAGAAATTATATGCCATGCTTTTGATTATAAATGCTGTTAACACTTGGAAATTAACTATTTCAGAAATATTTTACTAATGGGGTTTTGGGGTTTTGGGGTTTTGGGG